TTGGATGATGGTTGGATGATGGATGGTGGTTGGATGATGGTTGGATGTTGGATGATGGTTAGCTAATGGATGGCTATTAAATGGTTGATAGGTGGTTGGATGATGATGAGTCACATTAATGTACCTATAGAAGCCCCGCCCCCTCAGTCTCAACAACCCACCTGATTGGACGCTGCAGAGCCCCGCCCCTCGGACGACGCAGAGCGGAATGAATCCAAACAGCAGAGTGATTGACAGCAGAACCAGCAGCGCCCCCACTTTGATGTCCAGCGCCGGAAGCTCCGCCCACCCGGAGGAGGCTCCACCTGAGACCAGCATCTTTAACTGGTGTCTCTGGTCAACGAGTCCTCGAGGCTCAGTGGGACTAACCTGTAGAAATAAAGGGTCAGTCCTGCACCTCAGTCTCAAACCGGAATCCATCAGAACCAGTTTCCAGGTGCTCTACAGATCAGAGCACCTGGAAACTGGATCAGAACCCGGTTCTGATCCAGTGAAGTTGTGAAGCACGGCAGTGGCAGAACTTCACATGAAGACAGAACCACATGGACCAGCAGAACCTGACGGGCCTGATGGTCCCATCATGCTGTGAACCAGCTGGTTGTAGTCCAAAGGTTCTGTTCTTTCATGGATCTGGACCTGGACCGAGTATTCCAGAACCTGCACAAGGTTTTCTTGGTCTGGACCAGGACCAGGTGAAACCTTGAAGTCCACGGATCAAAACAGGATTCTTAAAAATTTAAAGTAAAAAAATAAAGTTTTTCTTTTGGACTTTTCCCACCGGTTCTAACAGAACCAGTTCGGTCCAGAACCAAGAACCAGCTGGTTCCTGTCAGACTGCGGTCAGATGTTCTTCATGTGATTCGGTTCTGACCCGGTTCCTTTAACAGCTCGAACCCAGAGGATCAGGAGGTTCTGTGTGTTCTCACTGAGCCTCGGTTCTGATCCAGATCAACTTTCAGTCCGGTTCAGTCAGAACCAGGATTCTTTAATCCGAATTTATTTTTAATCTCCTGCTGGTTCCGAATGACACGATCCAAACATCACGTGACTCCTCCTGACCTCGCCTGAACCCGAGGTCCGGACCGAGTCCGAACACGTGACCTACCTGGGTCCAGGTGAGTCCGGATCAGCCGAGTTGGATCAGACGGGTCCAGTTTCCTGGTTCTGATCGAGTGGTCTCATGTTGTCAGGGAAGTTCCGACTCAGATCCCATCAGCTGATCCCGCCTCATCCCGGACCGCAACAACATACACTTCCGGTATTCAAAATAAAAGTCTTCGGCCTTTCGAAGTAAAAGTTTCTTCAACAAACTGAAAGTTTTATTTAAACAAGTTTTTAGATAAAAAATGTCCCAAATTATTTCAACAGTTTGTATTTTAGTTTGATCACGTTTTTTGTAAAGTTCATCCAAAAACTTGAGCTGAATTATCTGAAACAAAACAAAAACAAAGTGAGACAAAAATAAGTTTTATAAATTTAAATCTTCTTCCAGCTGCTCCTTCTGCAGGGTCACCACAGAGAACTAACTCAGAGAACTAACTCAGAGAACTAACTCAGATAACTAACTCAGTGAACTATCTCAGAGAACTAACTCAGAGAACTAACTCAGATAACTAATTCAGAGAACTAACTCAGAGAACTAACTCACTGAACTAACCCACTGAACCAACTCAGAGAGCTAATTCAGAGAACTAACTCAGTGAACTAACTCAGAGAACTAACTCAGAGAAGTAACTCACTGAACTAACTCAGTGAACTAACTCAGATAACTAATTCAGAGAACTAACTCAGAGAAGTAACTCACTGAACTAACCCACTGAACTAACTCAGAGAGCTAATTCAGAGAATTAATTCAGAGAACTAACTCAGAGCAGTAACTCACTGAAGTAACTCAGTGAACTAATTCAGAGAACTAACTCACTGAAATAACTCAGTGAACTAATTCAGAGAACTAACTCTGAGAACTAATTCAGCGAACTAACTCTCTGAACTAACCCACTGAACTAACTCAGATAACTAACTCAGAGAACTAATTCAGAGAACTAACCCACTGAACTAACTCAGTGAACTAACTCAAGATAAGTAACTCAGTGAACTAACTCAGAGAAGTAACTCAGTGAACTAACTCAGATAAGTAACTCAGTGAACTAACTCAGAGAACTTACTCAATGAACTAACTCACTGAAATAACTCAGAGAACTAACTCAGTGAACTAACCCACTGAACTAACTCAGAGAGCTAATTCAGAGAACTAACTCAGAGAAGTAACTCAGTGAACTAACTCAGAGAACTTACTCAATGAACTAACTCAGTGAACTAACTCACACGAAGACTTGGTGATTGTTTTCACACCGGCTGCTCTTCCTGACACAACCACAGAGGGTGGGGGTTAAGGGCCTTGCTAAAGGGCCCAGAGTGGAGCAAATGAGGGTGGAGGCAGGTGTGAGTGCTTCACCTTTCCCACCCACAGTTTGATGTTGTCAGTACCGGGAGTTACCGTACCACTTTATTTATAAAGCACTTAAAACAGCTACAAGGCCAACCAAAGTGCTGTACAGACAGAACAACAGGTAACACACAAAGCAAAATACAAAATGAGGTAAATCAGAATATAGACATAAAAACGATGCAGATAATGACGACAAACCAGTGTGGAGCATACAGGATCAAAACACAGATCATCTGGTGTGTACCAATCGATCTTCCGATCAAAGGCTCACCTTCTCTAACCTCTGGGCCACCACTACCCTAAGTTTTATAAATTTAAATATGATTACATAATGTGTTAAAATGTGACAGACTTTGTAAAACTTTGTTAAAAACAGGTTTGTGATTAGAGCTAATGCTTTTATTCTGGAGGTCCAGCTTCCTGTTTTCCAGTGTTGAACTGGACTGACCTTCAGACCGTTAATAAGTATTAATAAGAGAGAACTTAATAACTTAATAATAAGAGAGAACTTAATAACTTAATAATAAGAGAGAACTTAATAACTTAATAATAAGAGAGAACTTAATAACTTAATAATAAGAGAGAACTTAATAACTTAATAATAAGAGAGAACTTAATAACTTAATAATAAGAGAGAACTTAATAACTTAATAATAAGAGAGAACTTAATAACTTAATAATAAGAGAGA